TCCCCTTTCTCTCTATTAGATTATTTTTTCTATGGTCGTTATGTTTGTTATTTTTCTCGAGTTATTTTCTCTTAAAAAATCCCAGTAGAGAGACAAGTAAAGAGTGAACGATATATACATGAATCTTTCTATATATTAAAAAGGAATAGCAGATAAATAAATAGGTATTAATCAATGACGATTAAATAAAATAAATTCATTTGCCTTATTTTCTTACACAGTGATGTAGGAGTGTATTTTTAAAAAATCTATTGTTTATATACATAATATATGACCGAATATCGAATTACTTGTTTAATCTACGTTTTTCCATAAAAAATTCTTTTCTCATAACTAATGACATATGATTATATATATGGAGATAATTCCCCTCAATTTTTCAGGGCTGGATAAAAAAGATAAACAGATGTTAACACATTGTTTGAGTTGGTAAATTTTCATTATTTTTATTTCCTTTTTCACTATGCTGTAAGATATATACATCCTATAGCATATGGACAAAAAGAAGCTTGTTGAACTATAGTTGAATTTCACATTTTCGTAGCCTAGATGTTGGTCTTCAATAGATATTCACTGTAAGACAGTATCAAATATTTAGCTGTTTTGTGAAAAATTATTCTGAGCTAAAATGAGATATTTTCTTGAGTACCAACTTGTAGTATTTCTTTAGTGGATTGTTAGCCATTCACATAAACTATCATCTTGTAACAGAATATTTTGTCAAGTCATTTAACAAGTGCTAATTAATGTACGCGTCTTCGAGCTTTACTTTAAGCACGAAGTTTAGTAGTACTATTTGGATTGGGAGCGGGGAAGAATTGAAATCTTTGACCTATTGATTGAAAATTAAACTCCTTAACCGATAATCCACCGCCCAATATATAACAATTAGACTTATGTTTATTTACATTTCGTTCAAAAATAAACTTACACGAAAGAAAATATGTTTACATGGTTTCGATGAGGGCAGAAAAGCTTGCAGAAAATCAGAACAAAATGAAACAGAATTCACGAACTCCGTAACTCCACAAAGATAATTACACGCAGTAATAAAACGTATTTATTAAATAATATTTTAAAAGCCCTCCAAATCAATATACATGTTTGGATTTACTCATTATAAATCATCAATTATATGGCCTGATAAATCAGAGATCACTTCCTTATAATAAATTACTTCATTTTGAATGACTGAGAGGATGGAATATATAGCATCAGTATATTGAGAGTTTAAAGACTCAATTTGGAAATGTAGACGTTTGACATCATGACTAAAACAAGAAAGTTACCTAGTCTCACATAACATGGTCGTTTGATCACGTTTTGACACATCTGCTGTATTCTGTTTTCAAGTAACTAATCAGTCCATTAAAAAGCTATATAGATACTTGGCATCACTTCACAAAGTCACTGGGGTTTAGAATTGGCTATGTATAGGGATGAATTGGTTTCATGGTTAGAGAGTATAGATAATACGATCATTTGAACTCTTTCTTCTACATCGTTGTTTGCTTTCTTAAAATGGTTTCTATAGAAAATAGCCTTGATTTCACAATTGGTTATAAAGAAAACATTCCATGGCATGGATGGAATGGTCTACGAATCTTATGATAGCGAATCATATATATATAATCTAGTTTTCCTTGTCCCTCCAGATTGATAGCAATTCCAAAAGAAATTTACCTTTCAAATTTCCGAATTTTTTCATATGCTCCACTGTTTACTTTATTTAAAACATATCGATGGTATGATACTGTTAGTTTGCATCAAACAAGATGCCTTACATATCTATCTATACGTTGTTTTTCCTATTTACTTATACCGGATATGCTTGTCAATCAACTTACTCGTACACATTTTATACACACTAAACTAATTCCGGTTCTATAGATTTTTTTCTCTTGTCGACATACATCAAATCGTTAGTATCACGAATCTAAGGTTGTATCAATGTTATGTTTATTTCTGCAAGAACGTTTATTTCTAACTCCGAAAGCTCACTGTAGTTAACATTGAAATGTTTAATCAACTTGAATGGAAAAGAAAAACATGTTAAATTGGATAGAAAATGTAGAATTCATATTCTATAACTTCGTTATGTCAATGAATCAATTAAGTGGTTTCTATATATTTAAAATGAAATGGATTTATGTTTATTACGCTTCTTCATAACTTCCATGTTTTTCCATAATTTCTTTGTTTACCTCTCAAGGTAGCTAACTCATACACATCCTTTCCTATTGAAAATCCAATGAATCGTTCGATTCATTCTTACATACTTTGTGAATATTTGTTTGCTTATTTGTGTTTGTGTGTGTTGTATACTCCGTGTGCATTACAAATTAGTCTTTTTTTTCTTACTGGACTATTTCAACAACAAATCTCATATATCACATACTATTCATGGGATTTGTACTTGGCTTTATCGATGTCCTCAATTTGTTTAATTCTCTTTTATTATTTATCCATTTTTCCTTTTAAATTTTATCTCTCTCACCTTCCACTATATATATATATATATATATATATATATATATATATGCATGTGGATTTTATATGTACACATGCATAATCCCTCTCAATTAATCAATCCCACCCTCTGACCTTCATTTCTGACCACCCTCCCCTCTTCATGATGATGATCATCATAGTGATTTGTTCATCTGCTCATTTATAAATAAAATAGAATACTTCAATATAAGTTATTATTACGACTATATTATTATTATTATTATTATTATTATTATTATTATTGTGTGATAATGGGGGTGGTGGTGGTTATATGGAGGATTGTTAACTTAATTTATGGTTCACTCTACAAAAAAGTTTTCGTGTGTTTGTTTACTTTCACTCATTTTTAAGTTTTTTTTGTTTTATTTCAATTCCCATTATGATATACTGCCATTGTTATTATTATTATTATTATCATTATGTTTAATAAAATTTTCAAATGTTTGCGTGCTGTTGTTATGTGACTCGATACAATAACAAATAAACTACGAAATCTTTCTATTCCTAGAGAAATGTATTCAGTTTGGAAAGAAGCAAATATTTGTTTGTCTGTTAATCAAAATTAGGTGAGATCGTTTATATATAAACAAATAAAATTATTATGAATGCCTAACTCTAAGAAAACATGATTTCTGATTATTTAATTCCAAAGTAATACTCATATTACTAATTATGACCTGAATGTTTGTATCCGTGTGCTTAGATTATATATATCTTTGTATCTTCTCCTATAAGTGAACATTAGTTTCTAAGAATCGGGAGCTAGTAATATGCTTCGATATATATATATATATATATATATATATATATTTCACTAGGTAACAGCTAACTTTTGTTATTGATTTATCTATCCTTGTTCAGTTAAATTTGTATACTAATTACAGTCAATTACTTTTTGTCTATCTAGGGAAAAAATATCTCCCAGCTGTAAACTCTTGGATAGGCGATTGAAAATCTGCTCATTCGTTATTGTTGTTCTGACTGAAATATGATATTTTGATTATTTGTCTGTCTATCTATCTATCAAACATAATTGTTGATGTTTATTTGTTGTTGTCAATTTTTTTCACTATACTAATATTATTATAATCACTTCCATACTAATAATGATGACATCTCTATTGTGACATAACCAACTATAACTTATCCAGACTATAGTTCGATAAAATAAAGCCTGAATGCAGACAGTAGATAAAAATTATTTTAATGAAATAAAATTCGATCACAATAATGTGGGAAAGATCATCCAATTATCTATAGTTTTATTATTATTATCATCACTTTATGCAATACTATATTCGTTTCTCCTTGACTCATATCTTCTATACATAATCTTTTTTTAATATCACTAATACTGTTACCGCTACTATTGAAACTACTACTCTTGGATTTAACTTTTGCTGATGTGTAAAATGACAACGTGAATCGATGCATGTATGTACTAGGTTCTACATTACATATTACTAACTGACTAACTTGTTAATATTTACAAAGTACGTAGGAATAAAGGTTTATGATGGTAATTACGAGCCACTGATTTTTATTGACCAGTTTTACTTTTAATGACACTGGTTTCCAACAAGTTTATATATATATATATATATATACTCGATACAGAAATTGCATTGTAATTACCTTTTCTCTCTCTCTACGAAAAATAGGTGAACTTTGAAGTAATTAACTTTACGCTAGGTTGTAGTGTGTTTTCATGTAATTAGCAGTCATAATCAGTCAATCAAGTTAAATCTAAATGGAAAAATTTATTACAATTATTTTCACAGTTGTAAAGTAGGTGACCCTGAAATTCGAACAACCTACTATACCTTTATTGTGTTTATGCAGTATCAGAACAACATAATAACACAGAGTTTTGTTCTACCATATTCAAGGATTTTCTTGACATTTTCTCTACCCTAACTCCCAGCGTAGGGATAATACCTATCCAGAAACTGAATTAGAATCCAATTTAAACTTTCCAAACTTTAGGTTATTACGTAAAGTTCTAGAAAGTATTTACAGTTTAACATTCTTTCGTCCATTATATAATTCATCTTTACACTGGTAATGCATAAATTTCTATGCATGTGGGTAAATACCAAGACAACAATTAATTTTCACTACAAGTTAAATTAAAACAACTGTATTCTCTTTCATAATTATGTTACTGAAGATCTAAACGGTAAAACTGATACATAAAATATAACTCCCATTAAAAGTGGTAAGTGTATGTTTCACTCAACTGTGATTAATAATTTATGTTTGTACTTCAAAAACCCATCCGGTTGCCTGATCAAGAGGATTAGATGAAGCGGAATTGAAACCTTCTGTTACTCTCTCTTTACAAGCTGAACGTTTTAACAATCAGCTCACTGTTTTGTAATAACTGAGCTGGAGTACAATTTGGTTTTTGATATCAATATAATAAATTTATGATCATTATTCTAAATACTTGAACTTATATATTAATATATCAAATTTATTTATTTCAGATATTAACAGTCACAATGCCGGTGTCAACTGTTCAGGGATGATAAGAATTTCACTAGATCCTCAACAATTTGTTGTGTATTATTTTTACTTTGGATTATATCAGTGAAATTTAAATATTTATAATCTTAAATTATAAAACAATACTTGATCTTTTGTTTTATTTTCTTGTCGTTGTCAAAATACACTACAATAAGAAAAAGGTTTTGTGTTGTACCATGTGAAATAACATAAGCTATTTACTTGTGTAGTGTCATTCATTAATGAACGCCACTAAGGAATGTTAAGTGTGTAGAGGTAGTTCGTAGGAAATTCTTACTTTAAGTTTCATACTAGTTGACACTCGTCAGCATGGCATGCTTGGAATCTTCAGGGAACTGTTTCTCTTTGTATGATTCGAACACACGTCATTTAGTTTCACAGCCTGAGATTTTACCACGGAGTTATTCGGGGTGTGGTTGGCTTCCTGTAGGACTGAGATATTTACTTTCATTTATCACTGTGTAGTAACTAATGTCATGTTTATTTAGTCCTTTAGCTCTAGTTGACTTCTATCGATCGAATTTCAACATGACCACAAGTTTTAGGGTTTCTTTCCGAATACTTTCAAACACTCAAATTCAAAATATAACGCACTTAAACTGGTCATCACATTATAATCTGTTTAATAGAATTTGATCAACACTAAGAACTAGATAAACAAGATTTATTAATTGAACACTGAGAAGACAGTTGATCTGGAAAATATGACCTTGGTTACTGCTCGGTGATTGATCAATGTAACTCCTAAGAAATCTCTTCCCAGAACAGAATAGTTGTTTAATGCTTGCTTATATTTAATAGTTCTACAGTTGATATTAATTCATAATAAAATTCACCTTTAAACCATATGAACTCTTTACAACACTTCTGTAACAATTACCTTATGCATGTTTAAATCCACGAATTCTACAAAAATTTTCAAATCAGGTATTGTAATGAAGTCCATAATTTTTGAAATAATCAATTGATATGTTGTTTCATCTATTAAATATGATAATTTAGTTTAAGAAAATGATAAATTTATGATAAAACGTACTAATGAATTCAGTTATTCGCTCTTCATGATGAATATGACAAAAGTTATCAAGAAAGCAAGCTAATAAAGAAATATATATGAAATTATATATTTACAATATTCAATTTAACATTAGATATGATTATAAATGTGGTTTCTCTAGGAATTGGTTCCCAGATATCTTATATTTTTATTTCTAATATCTTGCGATTTCTGTTCGTCGAAAGAAATGTACAAGCTATAAAAAGGATATGGAGTCTGAATAATCTACTCAAAATTCACTTCGTCTAACTGAATAGTATTAGTAATTCAATAATAAACTGAGTTTCATATAAAGTTGAATCATTAAATATTCGTCTGATCGTTGTACCGAAATAGGAAACTTCAAAAATAAACTAATTCAAGTTGATTATATTTTACAAAGGCCAAAATAACGAATGTATCAGTGAAATTGACAATGTTATGTGTTACAAATGGTCAGAAAATTCGTAGTAGAAGACATTGAAAATAATAAATTGTGACTCAGTCAGTAAAAAACCCCTCTATCTGGAACTGAACTTTAAGGGGAACATAGCGGGTGATATTTTAACATGGCTCAAAAAGATCTGTTGAAAGGACGTTTCACGCTGCCAAGCTACATATAATTTTCTCAACTAAACCAGTACTTACACAACAAATCAAGGATAGGTTACCGATAATGGGCTCCTTCATGTGTGTATACCAATTCAACTGCTCCTATGACGCTAGCTATATAGACCGTACTCAGAGGGCTTTCTCCTTGCGTGTTTGTGAACATGTACCAGCACGGTTGGGAAAAGGAGTTGCTAAATCGACCGACAGCACTATTCTGTTTCATTTGGTAGATAGTGAAAATCGTATCAAAATGGAGGAAGCTTTCTCTGTTTTGGATCAAGTTCCAAAAAATTTATTTCAGTGAGCAAGATTACGGCTACTCTACATAACCGAAGCCATCTGGATCAATTCTAGCAAACCAAACTTACGTATCCAGCCTCTATGTTTATCTTAGCCTACGACTAGATCACCGGACACCTAAACTGAATATTATAAACCTCTTACCTCCTCACTTTTTTTCGAAGTATATATGTCGTAACAGATGCAAACGTTCACCATTTTTAACATATAACAAATTCATCAATACATGCGTTATTTTGGCCTTTGTAAAATGTCATAGTAATGGACTTATAACTGTAGAGCCCGATGATGCAGTTTGAAAACAATTGTTCACTCAAATATTCTTCATTTTTGGAATATTTCATTTCAATAAATATTAGAGTAGTAGTATACTTGATAGGTGGCTAATAGTGTAGTCAATGACTGACGCTCTGTCTCATTTAAGACTCGTCAGTTAGATGTATCTGCATTCCAGTGTCTACACTCTCACTAGGGCTCAAACATAGTACCTTTATCTTCGATACCTCACCCGCCTGAGATATTGAGTCTAGATGACTTAATTTATTCAATAAGTATAAGAGTATTACCATGGATTTGTAATCTGTAGTTGTCGATAGTTATGCGAATGATCAATTTCTATTTCCATAGGGGAATATTGCCTGAATTATAACTTTCTCCTGTTCCCAACCCTCTAAGTGTATAATTATACATGTTATGATTTTATTGCTTTAGTTCTATAGTTTATAAATGATAATTTTAATAAAATGAATGGTTTTTTGATTCATTTCTTCATTGTTTGTTTCAATCTTCCCATTGATGTTTAGAATTATAATCGATCAGTGTTTTATTGGTTTTCGAATGTCCACCTGTATGGTAAACTGTTGTACTGATCAAAAAGGCAGTTACTGGACCATGGTTTTTGTTAACGATCACTCTTATAAATTCTTTGAGAAGGTATGACATAGGAATTTCGGATTTTTTACGCAGCTGATTCAGCCATTCGAACGGCACGTTAAATATCGCAACCTATCTGTATAATTTGTCACACAATACCGTTTGGGCTGCAAGCGAACGCTACAAGTAAACAAAGTATTTGCTACTTTTAGGTACATATAACGTTACGATAGGTTAGCTAACTGGCTATTGAATGGTCAAAATCCAAATTGTAAGCTGTATCTACCGTTTACTCATACTTCACAGACACAAAAAGCAATCCATATAAATGACAGTTGTTCATATGACAACTTTTTTTTTCTGAAAAAGGATATCTCATAGATCCTACCATTCTACAGGCGGAAAATAAAAGTTCATTAAAAATCTGGCCAACTAATGAATGGCGCTTTCCCAAATAACTTTTACTTTTGGAGTAAAGCTTAAACTATTTCGTACAATGACTTATGCTTGATTGTCAAATACCGATATCTATCAATCCAATCGTCTACCTAAATTTCTTATATCTAAAGTTTCATTAAGTTATTTGTCTAAGTTATAATTTTAAAACTCATCTTTACGTTCTCAGATGATTGATCTCAATAGTACTTGGACTTTCTGAGTCAAGTAGCTGACAGAACCATATAACTAGAAGTCTAACTTACGGATTGTAAGCTCCTCGACTATGTGATCTAATTGCGTAACACTTCCCACCAGACCCGGTCCTGAATTCAGATTCGGGAGATAGCTGTAGGTGCACACTGCTAAAGAATTTTAAACTAGGACAGAAAACTTATCCAGTATTCCCTGATTCTTATTAGTATCTGTTTAGATGTCAGTACGTTATGAGAAATAACTTCAGATCGCACAATCTTCATAAGTTATCTGATCTTCTAAATACTATTTATTCTTTCCTTTCAACACTACATTCACTCCTTGTTAGAACCTTCTTGGGATTAATTTATCAGTGAAAACATAATGTCAGATCTAAAGATCTGAAACTCTGTTAATTATTAAGACTCATCAATCAAGTGAAATTTTCATACAATCAAAATTATTACAGGCAAATATCCAATATTTAGTAAAATTGGCACTTGTCATAGGATATAATAAGCTGGAAGCAAAGTGAATTATTGGCTTAGTACTACCCACTAACTAATATGGTGCTCATATTGCTGTTTATCTGGTATCTAAAAATAAATTCACAATACATTATATCTAAATAACTTTATACATAACTTCTGAGAGTTCGCTGTTTATCCTTGTTTCAACCATCGCCCCTTGACACAATACCACCTTGTATAGCAGAAATGTGACAGAATTACGTGGACATATCACTATACCGTATAGTGTGATGTATAACTTTTTCGAACATTAAGGATGTAAAATCTAAGCTGACTGCTTTTTCGGCGGAAAACAATATGCGGATAAATATCAGTCATGTACTTGTTAAAAATAATGAATTTCTGCTTGAGTTACATGTTACTTTAAGATATTCAATTTTATGATAAATATCAGCCAGAGCAAATCTAGTTATCCGGATATAAATTAACAAGTCACAAGATTAAACTAGTGCAGGATTTTTTCGAAAGTAGATTGACAATTATTTCAGTTATTAAATAATCTATAGAAAATAAGTCGTACATCATTTTTACATTTCATGTTAGTCTATTTCTCTAATGAGTGCTTTTACTCAAGGACTATCTTTTTAATATTTATCTTCTTTAAAAGAATGTAATCATACCAAGTAGAACTGATTCCTTAATGGTTGTATGACGTTTTCGTGACAAAAACAACTGCTCCAGAAAACAATTAAACTTTAATTATGATGCCTCGAACTATACAGGATTACGGTGAGCAATATCATATTTTATACGCAGATGCTAGGGATGACAATTTGGCTGCTTGAAACAAACTACTCCGGTATCATAAAGTTGGAAGCATCTAACACACTAATTAATAAATCACGTTCTTAAAACTACCAAATCGTAGTTTAATTACTGTGATGATTAAACTGGAAATCAGATGGAATAAACTAGACTATACTTGTGTATACACACATTTTGAAAAAAAAACCCAGAGAAACAATAGCAAAAAAACACATGTATGTAAATATTTATATATACTAAAACCATCATAAATGATGTGATATAACATTATCAAATACAAACAATGGCGGCAAACATCATGTTCACCCTGCAAATACACGATTCAATGTTAGATGAATTTAAATGAACAACAAATGAGAGAGAAGAAACAACATCGTCAAACAAATTTGCGAGAATATTGCATATATAAGAAAGAATAATATTAATAACAAAACTCAGTATTGTCACTATTGTTCGCTTATCAGTACTAGTGAGCCATCTTACCATTATATACTACTTCAAAAGAAGAAATACACGATATGTATGTATAAGGTTGGTTTCACAGCCCTGTATGTGTGTATGTCTTCAGTAAATTAATATTAGAAAAAAAAACAAAGGCAGAAAAATTTTAGAGTACATCACATCATAAAGATTTTTTTTCTCCTCTCCACGATGAGGAACACAGCCACCGAAATAAAGATTCTTGAATCCCACTATTATGATTATGAAGTGAATTAGGAAAACAAATATCTATCAAAAATGAACGTAAAATGAACATTGTAGCCGTACACATACAAGCATTACACACATACACACACTAAGTATTTGTACTATAATGATAATTATTCCATGAATTGATATGTTTCGTAGTACAAATTATCGACAGAAGTAAAAAGTGAACAAGAAAACAAAACAGAAAAAATACCATTAATTGTGAAAAAACAAGTCTTCAAGTTATGTTAAAAATGAGAAAATACTCATCAAAACTAATAATATATAGCAAAAAAACCAAACAAACAAGCACAATAACAGTGTAATGTATACGTGATATGCATGTGTTACATAAGATGAATGGACGGATATATATATATATATATATATATATATATATATATATTGATATGTGGTTACACCAATCGGAATTTCTTGATTAAAAAAAGACGTAAAGAATAGGAGGCAATCACAGCCAGAGTTCGTCAACAGGATTGTCACATAATCCTACTAAGTTAATACTTTCTTTTTATAAAAGATATATAATTTGATATGTCAACGTTAATAGTTGGTAGTGATAGTGTTCGTTAATAAAATGACGTGATATGTAATTAAATGTAGTCAAATAATTGAAAAACAAACAAATACAGAAAACATTCACAATGATGAAAGATCAAATGCAACCGGTCATTTCTTTCATTTTCTTTTTCTAATTTTCAAACTAATCTCTAGCACAGATAGACATATACATTACATGTAACTATTACTGTTATTTATTGTATGAGAGAAACACACAGAGGTTAATAATGGTCGTCATATCATTAGCAAAAACACAAATACAATTGTCTTGTTGTTATTATTATTATTATTACTACAAAGGGGATGGGAAAGATTTAAAAAAACACTGTCTAGTAGGTCCATTAGTACATTCAGTAAGTGTAACTTAGAATATATTTCATACAAAGAGATAATTTCATCACTTAAAAATTCGATTAGATCATTTCGAAATAATAGAAGAGAACGAAACTGCACCATACATAAACTGACTATTATTAGTATTATCATCACTATTATTAGTAGTAGTTGTAGTAGTAGTAGTAGTAGTAGTATCATGCTAATTCTGTTGAGCCACATAAACACCAAACTGAATAAAACACTGATGATTCGAAAAAGCCAGATGACCCAATAACATGTTTTTTTTAATTGTTCGTTTGCTACTAAATGCACTAGGAAATGCTGCCCATGTATATACTGAGCGTTAGTAATCAGGAAGTTATGGTTCACATATGTGATGTTGATTAAACTTGAGAATTGAATAAGAGAATAGTGATGATGACGATGATGATGATAGTAATAATAATAATGATAATAGTAGTAGTATTAATAGTAGCAATAACAATAATAATACCATGGTTTAAATTAATGGAAGCGTATAATTAGTGTTCAGTGTTTTGTTAAACAGTATAATTTCACATCTAATAATACAAACTATTTAAGTACACAGTTAGTTACCACTTTGGTGTTTCTTCATATGTAAAGTAAGGTGATCACTGCGTGCAAAAGCTCGATGACATGTTCTACACTGAAATGGTCGATCACCAGTATGTTTTCTATAATGACGTGTTAATTCATCTGATCGAGCGAATCTCCAAGCACAACCAGGCCAATCACATGGAAAAGGTTTTTCTCCAGTGTGTACACGCATATGAGCTTTAAGATGTGAACTCTTAGAATATGCTTTTGCACATGTGCTAAAAGGACAAGTATGAATTAAAGCTATTGACTTTTTAGTTCTACCGGTGGAATTACTTCCAGTTCCTTTAGTTGAAGTATCACTCTTAGTTTTATTGGTACGTGTCCGACGCATAGGTATTAACGGAACTTCCCCAGGTCCACCCATGTTACATCCAAGAATATCCTGATGAGATTCAATTCCTAATTCTATAGCTGAACTTTTATTTCTACCGATATTATTAATGTGGGTAGAAACTAATGAAGAGTTCCGGTAAACAGGATTATCACATGTGGTATTTAGTGGTCCAAATCCAAGATTTTGAGTGGGTGATACAGCTCTTGGTGCTAGTACTCGAAAAGTTGTGTTCACTGGAAGATTTGTATCATCAATTTTATACATATTCATATAATAATTTGCGTTTTGTGTTGCACTGCGGTAATCTTGCATATTATTGACAGCATGTACTGTACTATTATCATTTATGGTATTTATAACGGAACAAGTTGGAGGCATAGGATGAAGTTGAGAATGATCAACTCGATTGTTTTGTGGTAGATAAACAGCTGCGATATTGTTTTCAGTCATAATGTTACCATTGACAGCGTTAGTAAGATTTGCAACATTGGGATAAAATCGTAAAGAAGATTGCTCTTGATTTTGTAAACTTGACTGGCAATTTTGGTATGGATCTACTGGTGGCATATCTGTTGTTGGAATAACCGAAGGCATATAAGCAAGAGAAGAGGAAGAATGCTGAGATTGCAATTCCCCAGTTCTTGAATCATTTGTAGTTTGTATATAATGCCCTGTATCTAGTACTGCACTACAATTTGAATTATAGTTACAGTTATTCGGTACATTTGTAGTCCAGTTATATGAATTATTTTGATTGATTTCTGAACAATGTTTATATTCAGAATTTTCGGGAAAAATAGGCTCTTGTTTTATTTCAATTGGTGAATTATTTGAACCAAGGTCATAATAATACTTTGTATTTGAATTTCTAAAAGAATTAGAATTCTGTGAACAGATCACATCTGAATAAACAGGTCGTAGTTGAGATACTGGCGATTTAGCGAAAGAATAATTAACATTCATAACAGAATTAGAATAAGTGCAATTATATAAATTATTAGATACATTATTTGCTTTTTGTGTAGCGCTATTCTCAAGGATAAAATCTAAATCGAGTAAACTTTCATATTCATTACTTGAAGTACTACTGCTACATTGTTCCGTACGAAAACTACTACCAATAGATGAACAATGTTCTGAAGTTGTAGGTGATGTTAAACCTGAGAGATTGCACATGTACGTTCCTCGTGACTAAAAATAAAATAAAATGCTTTTTTTTATTAGATATAAATTGATATGTAGTATCTAGAAAGATGATCCATGGACTTGTATAATTAATATGATACTATAGAAAATTACATTAGAGGATTGATTAAATACAAATAAATACGCTCCACTGAATACTTAACATCTAGTCAAAATTTCAAAATATCTTGGCTCCTGTTTCCCCTCAAGAATTTCATTTGATGAATAAGCTAAAATAGATTTGTTAGTGATTCATTTTGTATGTCATATAATACGTCGATTAAACTCAGTTATATCCTTGCAATCAATAACAGTTTACCAAAAAAAACGCTGATAATAATTCCAACGTTATAAAAATGTAGAATTTATATTCAAATCAATTCTCAATACAAAAAAAAGAGGGAAAAGAAAAGAGAAATATGTAACTGTGATTACCAATAATCTAGGAATAAAAATCATTTTTGAAAAATCTGTTGTATAAAAAGTTAATGTTATAGGGGGTTGAGCATTTATGATTTAAATCTACTGTACTGTCATGGAAATAATCCATTTAGTTGGTGAAAATTGTTTTTTTCGGTATCATTGTTACTCAACTGAGTATTAAAATACGAGAAGTTTAGGATAACTTTGAAAAAATCTTCAAAGTAAAAAAGAAAATACATCAGTATGACTTTTTATTTTTCAAGAGGCTAAAATTGAAAATTATCAATTGCCGAATTCCTTACAGTAACGTATTAAATTATTTTGTTATTTATTTATTTATTTGAACATCAAACACACGCGCCACACAATAACAATGAGGTCAGTAGTAGTTATCATTAATTTGTGCAAGGACTGTAGTACTGCCCAAAGGCTCAAACCAAAGGATGTAGGTGTTATAATTTCAAGTAAACTTATCATTTGATGCTTAAATCATTATCCAAATGATTTTACTCAAAAGATTATTGGATTCTTTTAAAAAAAATTGGCCTATAGCTTTCATGTAAATACACCCTTGTTATATTATGCTGATATGCCATCAAAATAACTTCTAACTAAACTCCTTCATGTAAGTAATTTAAGCCTATTTCGTGATTATGTTTTTAAATCTCACAAGTTATAGGCAGCTAACTAGAACCAAACGAAATAAAATGAATTCGAGTTATTCTGCTAGAATGTTTTGTTCTTGCTCTCTTCAAAAAGCTCCTCATATAAGAGATTTAACTGATTTTAAAAACTATGCATAACTATTTTCAACAGCCATCTATCCCGAGTGTAAAGTAGTTGTTTAGCACTTAAACCATTAGAGTGTAAATTTGTAACTCGTTCCTTCCTGTTAGTTATTTATTAACATTACACATCATATAAAGAATACTTTATATTTTATTTCATCATTACGATGTATAGCCAAACTAAACAAAACTGATTAGCAATTAACCAAACACCTGTAACAGGTTTTGGAAAGTTTATATAAAAATCTCCTTAAATAAAGAATATTGTGAACATCATAAGTGAAGTTGAAAAAGAAGTTGTCTAGTACCTGAAAGCAGTTGAAATTTATGCGTAATCAAATCCTGCTATCAAGGAAATCTATGTCAACTTTCAAAACAACACCTACAGTGACTGTGGAAGTTGATATTGTTGAGATAGAGAGAAGTGAAGAATGAAAAAACTTGAGTAGAGTCAATACCCAACACAACATATAATCACATGTTACCTTGACGTATATTTCAAGATAATAATCTTCAAAAACCACTTTCTTTATTTAAAAAAATCAATAACTTATCCCTTAATAGTAAACGATACGATTAATGGGGGGGGGACCGGATTCAATAAATCAACAATTCAGTCAACTGTTACATCTCTCAGAATAACATAATATAAAGTATTCCGTGAATATCCATTGCAATTATAACAATATATCAATACAATCCATAATGCTTTTCACAACCATATATCAAATGGTTGAATTCATGAGTCGATCTAAGCTAGACCACCATTGAAAATCTGGAAACACTGGACGGCCGTTTCGTCCCAGTACGAGACTCCTCAGCAGTGTGCATCCACGATCCCGCATACAGGACTCAAACCCAAAACTGTCGGTATCGCGCGCAAAAGCTTAACCTCTAGAACACTGGCCCGGCATCCAACGATGTTAATGTCTCATTTCAATCAATTCATAACCTTGAGTAACCCCTCATCAATTGTGGTGGATAACTGTCTCCAGCCGTCACGGAATGGACTCCACTGGTCACGGCTTCTCACTCAAATTCCAGACGATTCATTTTGAAGCTAGTCACTAGTGAGCACATGATAGTTGCGAATATTTTTAATACCCTAATATGGACACCATATATATATTATCTAAAGGCTTTTAATCACAGATTGTTTTGTTCTTTGATTGTTACTTTTTGTCGTTGAAAGAAAACAACATTTGATGATGACAATATTCTGTCAATATAGACAAGAAATCAAATAGTAACATTAATCAAATGGGCTCAGTGAACGTACACGTAGTTCAATCCAATTAAAAAAGAGTTGTTATTTAAACTGTCATTTACAATAATAATTGTAATAAAGACATATTCATCAACCAAAATATTAGCACGCTTAACATAATGAAATCATTTCTATCATTACATTCAAATCAGTTTTAAATATACAACTTAGTGAAACATGAAGTCAAATAATAGTAACTATATAATTAACGATGACTGAATTTCAGTATGATTGAACATAGTAACTGTTATACTATTTAATCAAATAGTCGTTATTTCATTACCATAAATAATTGATGGTGAAGACCAGAGAAAAACTTTAGATGATCACAAAACATTGTTCAAGCTACCCATTTTTCATTGTCAGTGAACTTAAATTAATAGCATATTCAAAGAAAAACAATCATCAAGTGACTTAGGTCTTCAAACTTCCTATTAGAAAAATATACGATCTCCTAGCAATTGATCAATATAATATTTAACAAATACAACTTAGTCAAAACACCAAACAAAATGTTCACTGCACCAAATATATACCAATAAACAACTTAGTTTTCATTACTTAGATAATAGTCATATTACAACTGTTGATAACAATTAAGATTTTAGTTTGATAAATACTAAATACAATCAGTAAATAAAAATGGAACGAATTTGAAAAATTCCAATGATGAATTTTTAGTTACAAGTAGATTCAACAAACTGTTTTTATTAATAAGTCCTTTGCAATTAACCACATATTAAACAATATTGTCGAAATCCGATTTTATCCGAATGACAATAAAAAATCAAAAATTCCTGGATTTATATTAACAGTTTCAACAAAATGAAACAAACACTAGTCCATAAGTTCAGTAAGGTCAATATTACTAAAAAGAACTGGAACTATAATACATAATCCTCATAGGTTGAAAAATAAGTTTAGTAATCAGTCCTAGAATATAGTCAAAGTGAAAACAGTTTAATAAAGTCTTTAGTGGTATTAAAAATGTAAAACAGTAACATGACATCTATCCGTTCACTAGAACTTTACAAATACAATTTATGAGATAATGTGATCGAGAATACTATCATAGTAAATAAATATATATCTCCACAACTTGAGAATTTGAATTCTGTAAAGTACATGGTGTTTTCCGCCTATTATAGTTCAAACTTTGAATTATGTTACATAAATCAAGAAAGTACTTCACACACTTCAGTAGTATATATGAAATGATGGGATGGATAGGAGTTAGCAGAATCCCGAATCTTGATAAATTATCTACTATCTAAGTAACCCGATAATAATATATTGGTCTAATGTTTTATTAAATGACAGCTTTAACGAACATCAACTGAGCAGTGGCTCTCTTTTGGAATCTATTCGTTTGTTAGTTGATTTCGTGAAAAAATTACCAATTCAGACATTTCAGAAAGTCAATCAGTCATACATGCTGTCATTATAGAAGTCGACTCAATACCACTGAGCTGACACTTACAATTAAATCATTTGGAATAAAGGAAATTTCGATATGAGTCAGCAATATTTCCACCGTAAGATATTAATAATTAACCCTTGTTTTACATATTTATAGTAAATGAAATTCAATCGAGAATTGATATGACTTAATATCTTTTAACAGTTGAAATATATAAAATTCAACTGTGGAATTTAGAAATCATAAAAATCATAGTCTATGATAATTATGTGAAGTGTTTTAGTTGTATACATGAAAATTCTTTTAACAGAAGATAACAGAAACCAGTTACATATAAACAATAGTTTATAAATTCATAACTTCATTGTAACAAACTATCAGCTTGGGGATAGTGCAAATCAGTGACTTTAGATGTTACCAGAAAAGTTGTTTAGAAGAGAAATCAATGGCTATCCTGATGTAATTTTCACTTGCTCTCTTCATAAAAGTGAAAATAATTCATAAAAATGAAAGGCTTTCCCTTTTTGTATTTTTCATTCCGAACTGTCTCTCCTATTATAAACTTTTCTCGTTCGTTTATTTTATTATCCTCTTATTCATCTATTTATTTTGAATATACTACCCCTCGTTCAACCATCTTCTCAATATCTCACGGTTGTATTTGTGTGTTACATATTTACTTTGCTGGTCATTTGTACCAATATCAGTCAGTAACAACGTAGAACTTCGTACGTACGTACATCAATTCGAGTTGCCACAATACATTAGCACAGAGTTGCAGTTGTCGATTCAAATCCCGTGTGTTCAAATAAATACATGAATATCAGTACAAGAAAACAAGCGTAAATTCAATACAAAAACCTATTTGGACTCATTAAAATGAAAAACTTCACACTAATATCAATAACACTTCAGTTCAGAATGAATATCTACATTTTAAAAAAGTAGAAACGGACTATGAATCATTATACTTCCCTGATACATGATTCTGATTAACTGCTCAAATATTTTCTAACACCATTATGTAACTCGAAAATTTAATTACCTTAGAGATTATAACAATTCATAGATGTTAATGGAAATCAATTTATTTTTCTTCAAACATTTCCTTTCGGTTTAATGTTGCAGATAGTTCATTAGAATTTAGAACGTGTATACCGTAAATTTAAGTTTATTCATTGTGTGACACTATATAGTTCATTCTAATTCTTCATATAAAATCATAAACTTCAACTTTCAGAGTATAAATTGTCCTTGTAAAAATAAAAGCATAAATCTAATTTGATAAATCTATGTATAAACTTGGTATACTTCATATGAACGCATATGATGTCTCTGTGATCGGATTGAAGTCCCACAATGTTTAGATAATTTGTATCTAGTTAATTCTAATCTGAGTAGTTTTGTACTGTAAGAAAAATTTCACACTCTCACTTCATCGAAGCATTAACTTATTCAACCTGAAAGATGACTTAATACAATGTGAATACTGTATAAAAATGACAAAAAATGTTGAAAAAATATATATATTGTAAATTAGTTTCTAAATCTCTGTATTTTGTATTTGACAGTCGATTAGTTTGCTTAAGGGATGATGTATAATGTTGTGAAAAAATTTTAGTTCATATCACTCTACTTAGTAACAGATCACTGATTTTGTAATCTTTAGATTTTTATCTAGGTAGTGGTTTATGCTTAGCTTTTTAATCTCTAAAACCATATATATATGCTCAGTTCAAATAAGGGAAAAATAAATGTATAGTAGTAGAATAAATAATGTTTTCCCAACAGTTTATTGAATTTTTATTGATTGTTTACCTGACAGTTTGTATATCTACCAATTTTAACACAAAATTAATATTGTTTCTAACACAACACACAAAGTAAATAGAACAGAGAAATCTTTTAATATTTTGAAAGTAACATTGGGAGCTGAGTGAATTACGCTCCAAATTAGTTCCATATACCTAAAATGAGCGTAAGAACAGCTACAACACTTCAAAACATCAACATTCTAATCTCATTGAAATAAAAAAAGTGAGTCAAATAAAGTTTAGACTCTGATGAACCAAAGATACATATCAATAATATAAGTCGTTCTCAATATCGAGTGGAGAGACTTTCAGTGCCTTTTTAACTACTAATTCATTAAACAGATACATAGCCTTACTGTGATAGACAAACTGAATCTAAAATGTATACTATTTATCAAGAGATAATGTGATCAGTTGGATTGTCAATCAATCTCCTTCAATTATTACAACGTATAACATCTTGCTTTCGTCAACACACAAATGTCATTCGGTCGACATTCAGAGTGGCTGATGTCAAACAAATGCTAGTTATTCAAATGAAAAATAAAATAACAATTGCTAGCAGTCTTCTGAAGCCATTTACACTGATTACTTAGACTTTATCAAAGTATTTCAAATATTGAAAATCCGTTTTTGCTATGTTTTGAAAAGCATTGAAAGACTCAGACTTATAAAACAGTAACTTAGCGAGGTTTTAAGTAGAGTCATCCAATACACAAAGCAATGGTACAATGAGTCGGGTAAATAAAAGTGATCTTGAAACTGTGTATTAATGGTTGAGTCATTTCCTTTAGGATATAATTAAGACCTCACAAATCAGTGGCATAAAAACAACGAAATTTGCAAAAATAAATATACTATTAATGCTTTTTTCTCTTCGTACACTCGATTTTTTGGTATTCGGAAATGTGTAATGCAACGGTCAACAATGATTATACAAGTGAGTATCAGTGATCTTAAAAGTGAATTTTATTCGTTCGTTCAATTACAAGAAAGATTTTAAAAGAAATTTCCGAATAGATTGATGGATATTTTACTAAGTCGTCGTAAGTCACACCGGAGGTAAATGTTTACAACTTAAAAGGTTCTCTTCTTATCAGTTTGCAGCTGAAAGCGCTCAAAATCATTTAGTTCAACTCTATTAGTCTTGAAGATTAATCTAAACTAAATTTCCATTAGATGTATGTATACTATTATCGTTCAGTTCTAAATGATCGAAATCAAGTAAGACGTGTATAATTCTTTGTACCTAAATTTGATTAGACCGACAAAACAGTTTTTAATAGAAAAAGTTTCATAGAACCAGACTGTAGTATGAACCAAAAACTTTTTGGACAATTAAAATACATTTAGAGATTATGTACACTTTTCTGTGGATGATTAGATAGAGCATTCACGAATCACACAATGATTTAAACGAGGAGGAGAAGTTTGCTACAGTTCATAATAATTCCTAATCCAACAGTTAAATATGACTTCATCCGTTCACTTTACTTTGTAAAATATTTTGCACTGAACAACTCATGTATTAATGCACCTTGGAGATACAGTTTGGTAAAAACTTTAATAGTTAAGAACGTGAAAAGACGAGATTCACATGTATAATTATCGATTGGAAATACTAGCGTGAAAAATCCATTGAGACCAAAATCCTTGGAGATTGACAACAAACAATCATAGAGATAGAACCTTTAATGTACGAGGACTGTTCTTTAAGGATTGAGAAACATTACAGAGAAATATATAGGTAACAGTTCCAAGAGAGGGAACAAAATGAATAACAAACCCAGCTTTGTAACCGCGTTTAGTCATAAGAGAAAGATCGTAACATAAATAACACACACCATAGTAAGATATATAAATGTACAAATCGATTTTCACTCCAACCTCTCGAGAAAAGTTAGTAGCTGACCTCTAATACAATAGGGTCTCACTTACGAGTTAATTACCGCTTCTAAGCAGTAATCGGTTTCCAGTATGAAGAAATATTCATAGAATTACTGTAAGCATCTCTAATTACAGGATATTCGTAATCTTAAGCAATTACTACTTGTTGGATATTCCGCTGCCTCAATATCCGTACATGGGTAATTCTGTCGTAACCAATATAAATGATGATGTTGTATCACAATATATAGTATCATTAAAAACAAAACTGAGTCGAAAAACAAGAACTAAGCCATACTCTGAGTTTCGAAACTCAGCACTCAAGTAACTAATGCATAAAAATGCAAGTTAGTTGGCTACAGTATACCATGGACTAATAAACCATTATGTGGAACCATTCGTTTTGATGGTTATACCACAATCAACTGTTTTTCGAAGGATGAAATACTGGTTGCCACATTTTTAAGAAACCACTGGCAAGCCTGATCCATCATGAATATGAGTAACCTTAGATCTCTCGAGTAACACAAAGAAATTAGAAGTGAATTGTTAGTAATGTGATCGGTAAGTTGCAAATCATTGTGTGAAAAACAAAAGAAAGGGTTAAACTAACTAGAAAACCCTTCAGATATTTCCGATACAAAATGCTAACTGTAAACCAACTAACAACTAAACGAAAAAACCACATTATTTGGAATTAACTTACCTTATAATCATAAATTTCTTCACGTTTTAGTGGACTAGAATGCATATAAAACCCTTCATAACCCATTGCCATCATTTCAGTCATGTTCGTTTGATATAGATTCAACTTGAAAAAGTCAGGAATTATAAAGTACAACTCCAAATATAATTACACGCTGGCTCAAGAACGACTACATTAGAGGACGAAGTGCTCACCTCAAATAGCTCCGAACTGATTCAGAAATTGCTATTTGTCTCATACGATGGCTTATTGAACTCAGAGAATGTTTTTGATTGGCTAGGAATTTAGCCTTGATAACAAGATAGGCCTGTCCCAGTGGCCTTGTGTCCGATTAACCAAACAGCTGTAAAAATACTATGGTCTAAATGATATATCGCTGTCTACATAGTAGTCAGAGCGTACGATACACACACATGAGCAAGAGCATTTAGAAAATTTTTAGTTGAAAATGAATTCACGTGGGACATATTTCAGTCGACTAATCATCCCTAAGACGACTATTACCTGTCTTATTCATGCCTTAGAAATAACAGTAATCCCTCTCCTCTAAATTTTAAAATGACTCACCCTAAAAAAGTGACAGTTTAGGCATTAAAAAGGGAAAGTAATAAAGTCTACGGCGAAATTATTACAGAAAATGTGAGTCATTTCCACTCAATTTAAATTACTATGGCCTATAGTCAGTTGACTAAAATTTATATCAAGTGGTCATATTCTATTATATCCATATATACTTTTTAATTATTTTAGTTCCATCTGTAAATACAAGTTAAAAATTGAGCAATAAATCTACTTAACTTTATTTATGAGTTAGGCTAACTTACATTACAATTAATGGTATGATTTAATTAACTAAATTTAATATTAAGTTTTTACGCAAGCTTGACATTGATGGCCTTTGGAGTTTCTTAACTGGCTGTTAGACAGTTTCTACTTTTCATTACAGTCATTAAACACACTGCATACATTTATCTTTGAGATACTGTTGTGTGTTTTTTTGACGAGTGATTTACTTTCCCTGTTTGGTATATAGAACTAGGGTAATTAGCCAATTAATCATAAAGTTGACTAATTTAGCTTAGTAGTCATTTGAACGTTTTTATTACTACTTCCAAACTATCAGTAAAAGTTTGACGGTCTAAATATTGATACTTCCCAGTTTCATTTCCTTAAATATCTTACATAAATAGATGGAATAGCTCACAATAATGGAATAAATATATCCACCAAATCATAATTGAGTTACATAATCAATCTTTAATTTCGTTCATTCTGTATCACTTATAACTACAATAACAAATTTTTTTTAATCTTCCATTTTAAGAAACCAGATTAATTATTGGTAGATGATGATGTTGCTTAATCTTCCCAAATATACACTGATTAACTGTAATAAAAAAGACTTCTTCAAATTTCTCAAAACCATAAAATGCCACATTATTCGACTGTTGCTAAACTCAGTAATAACACACCTATAAAATTGATTCCCTTCTTTTAGAAAATATTGGAAATATCAAGTAGATGACATATTACTTAATCAAGGAAAGTGAAGAAATACAGTTGATAACATTTTAGAGTGATTCAGTTAGATTATTAAATGATTTACTACTTATTTATTTAATTAGTAGTAATGTGCTTGTATGAAATCTTGGAGAAACCATATTTACACACGTTTGGAGTTACATAAACAGAGATAAGGTTGTCAGTAGTTCTTTGTTAAATTTAGGTTGTTATGTTAGAAATTCATGCCAATATACGGTAATTAGTCTTAATGTACTTGATATTTTTAAATAAAACACAAAATGTTTGTAAATCATGAACTCCCTCTTACCTTCTTTAAGTAACTTAATACTAAATAAATAAATGTAGCTTAAAAACTAACTCCAAATATTTAATACTATCGGTAAAAAGGAATTCTTTATCCACAATACTTTTTTCGGTGAACTTTAGTTTATTTTTTTAAAAAAGGTGATAATCATTTATAAATGACGCTTAAGTGGTTGGAAGCAGTCGTTAAGATACTCTTGGATTTAGGTTTCGTGTTAGTTGGCACTCCTCATTATGGCATATTTGTAGTCTTCAGGGAATTGATGCTACTTGTGTTACTATTCAGTTTCATAGTTTGAGATATTACCACTAGCTATTCGAGTTGCAACTGACCTCTCATCGACTAAGATATTTATAAGAATTGATCACTGAGTTATAACAAATGTCATATTCATCTAGTCCTTTAATGCTAATCGAATTCTATCTTCCAGGTTTCAATGTTGACATCAGACATCTCAACTTAATGCACACAGTTTTAAATCGCTAAGACTACCGGCTGCATTACAACTTAATTAATAGAGTCCGATCAACACTAAGAAATAAACAAACGTGACATTGGTTACTACTCTACGACCAATCAACTATCCATGAATCTACGCCTAAGATTAACACTTCTGTTAAGTAAGGCAGTAAGAGGTGGAAAACGGGAAAATTTCTACGACTTGTATTACCATTAAAAGTGATGTATTTAGACGAAAGTAACAAGAATAAGACAGTTATTAGATGACTAATTCACCTATTATGGTCTAAATTCCGAGTGACCATATATCTGACCAGTCAACATTTATATTTCATTTCCCCCCATATATATATTCGCCTGTAGCCCTTTTAGGGTTACTGCCAACCCACTTCTGACAGCCAGAGCAACAATTAATTTAAGTACATCGAATGCCTGGACAATGTGGGAGACTGGAAGGACCTATTAAATGGCTGCGTAGATGAGGAGATACAACTTATCCGTTCTCGGAATGAGTGAAACCCATTGATCCCAAACTGGACAGAAAAGATGAGCTTCGAGCGAGGTATTGCTAGGCATTGATCATAAAGAAGAAAACGCTTCGCACACGAAGAGATGTACAGAGGCTGTCCAGAGAAGCACAAAAAGCACTTATAGGATGGAAATCTCATGGATCCAGGATCATCAAAGTATCCTTCGAAATGAAGAAAGAAAGAATCGCAATGAATGATATCCAGTGCGATGAGCCCATCAATGAGGAAAGGCTGAAGTCGGTCATAGAGAAGTGACCAGGAAAAGACCTGGCCATCCTGATGGGAGATCTAAACGCCAAAGTCGGAATGAACAACACCAGGTATGAAGATATCATGGCTAGACAGATAGGAAGGAAAGAACGAGAATGACGAGAAATTCGCAGACTTAGGTGTTTTCAGCAAAATGGTTATAGGTGGTGCTATATTCCTTACAAACGAAATCATCAAGCTACACGGGTCTCGCTGGATCATAGAGAACCAGACCGATCATATTTGCATCACAAAGATTTAGACGTAAGAACAGAGAGGGAAGCTAACATAGATTCAGATCACCGGTTGATGGTAGCCAAGATGAACCTAAAGCCAAAGAAACACTGGGAAACTGAAGAAACAGAATTACAAAAGTTTAATACAGATTTGATATATATATATATATATATCACAGATGATAGAATACTATAAACACTCTATGGTAGAAGACTTATTAAATAAGACGTTTCAAATAAATCACACACGAGATTTTCACTTTCATCCTTTGAGTTACTAATCAGTCCTTAATCAACAGTTATAAACATCTCAAATCTCATATAGCTTGAGTGAATTTTTGAATGCTGATAAATTATTTGTGAATGAGAATGAAAATATTTCTCAGCAAGTCATCTATAACTGAAACTTTTGTGTTCACAGTTGCAATGGAAAGCCGTTCATTTTCATTATAACCCTAAATGATGTTGAAAGAGTACATCATTAATCAGTTTGTTTTGTCAATGTTTATCATGAACCATTCTAAAGTTGAAGAAAGTCCACTTATGTTATAATCAACAAAAATTTTATATGAGATTGCATAACACCCAACTGCGTCACAAGACAAGCCCTCACATGGAATCCTGAAGGTCAAAGGAAAAGAGGAAGACCAAAGAACACATTACGCCGGGAAATGGAGATAGACATGAGAAAAATGAACAGGAATTGGATGGAACTAGAAAAGAAGACCTAGGACAGAGTGGGTTGGAGAATGCTGTTCGGCGGCCTATGCTCCATTAAGAGTAACAGGCATAAGTAAGTAATTGACATAACAAAGTCATATTTTTTTGACTATTAACCCTTCACAATTTTATTTATAAATATTTTCATTGAGAGCCTAAAAGACGAAAAACAATTTTCTATCGGCTTTTGTTTTTCCTGTGTTCGTTTTTATCATTTCTTGAAAAGATTAAATATCAGTTGATGTGATGTATGAAACGTTTGCAAGCTACAATGTCTAAATAGGTACGTTTCTTAACTATATATGCTCTCAAAATCTAATTACTGTTCCAAGTAGATTTTCATAGAAACCCAACCAGTCTAGATACACACCGGAAAAGCAACATTGTAAATCATTTGAAAATTAATCATGTAATTTGTAACACAAAAGCCTATCCAACTTAAAAGTTTACCTCAGCTATAAACGGATTCATCTGCTGCTTGATTTTTACATTGTGCTGATATACCTAATATAAGTGAAATCATACTGCTTGTATCCAATAGTAGTATATTTACCTATTGTTTTACCAGGCAAAATTAATTAACTTTATTTTCATTCAGTGAAGATCAGATTTAAGTTGTTTAATCTTCGTTTTCTAATTGTGAAGATTGTCACCAAATAAACTACTTTCATTAAGGTTGTTTGTAAATTCTTAGACAGTGTTTACAAATAACAAGAGATTGATTAAAAACTATTAGTCATAAACATAAAAACACTTATTTTCAGAAGGAAAACATATACACTTTCTGTCAATGTTTCAATATGGTTAATTGTTTTTGACGTTTTTCTCTAGCAAAAATGTCTACGTGGTATAATGACTGGATTTTGTTTACCCAATGTTACATGCTGTAAATATAGCATGTGAAACATTATAAATTCACTGAAATCATGAACCACTTAATGCTATACTACCATTGTAAATCTGGAATCGCTGGAATGCCGTCTCATCCTAGTGTGGGACTCATCAGCAATGTAGATTTGTGGTCACGTACATGGGAATCGAACTCAATACGTTCGGTCTCAT